ATGTCTCTTTTAGTTTTTAAAATTATCTTATTAAAAATGTCTTATTAGAAAAGTCAACAACCGACAACACTTATATTTTTTTTACACTTATATGACTGTTTTACAATTATCAAAACAATTCAATCAAATATGTCAATTACCTTTTCGGGATAATTTTATAATTTTCCTTCGTGAAACATATCTCCTAAAACTATGTGCATTGTCAATATAAGACACAAATAATAGGATGGAGGAAGTGTTAAATTAAATTAAAAATATGATCAAATTAATAAAACTTATAAGCAGTGAAGATCAAATATATAATTATATTTCACCTTAGTATTTTTTTATTAATCTGGTAAGTACAAGATAATATATATTCTAAGATAACTTTGAATCTCTTAACATTGAGCGTTCACACTCCTGATTTTCTCAGTACTCAAACCCGATCAAGTAACGATAATCGTTCCTTCACCGCGTACACCACTAGGTTCGTGCTACTTCACCTTAGTATTAACATTCACCCCGCCATTTAATTACCAAAAATCATCCCCTTAAACACAAGCTTTTAGCTAGGCAACTCAGAAAGACCTTTCCCTGGTCGGGATATTGCGAATGTGGAGAAGAATGCAAGCTTTATGTCAACAGGAGATGTCCTTCAATCCGAGCTCGCCCTCCGACTTCGGATGACATATTTGCTTTCAACTCACCCTTGCCCCCGAAGTAACCGAATCCGTGCCCTTCCAAAAAAATACCTAGCACTAGTGAAGTCGGTATTAAGTGCTCTGCCATCATATTATTTAGCTTTGTTTAAAATGCCGGAAGCTTTCATTCAGAAATTATCCAGTCTGATGTCCGATTTCTTATGGGAAGGTAATGCAGAAAAGAAAAGAATGCGTTGGGTGAAGTGGTCCAAGGTGTGTAGCCCAAGGGAGCTTGGGAGGACTTGGGATCATTGATCTATCTGTCCAAAACAGAGCTTTATTGGACAAATGGATGTGGAGGTTTGTCAATGAGAAAGACAATCTATTTGCTGTAAGTATAAGTATGAACCTCATTGGTTATTTCCATCTCCTCATGTTCAAATTCAAGCTTCGTGGGTTTGGGAAAACATACTGAAATCTTTCTTTAAAGAATATGAGGTGGGCAGGTGTCTGAGAGAGAATTTTGCTATCATGGTTGGGGATGAAAAATATGTTTTGTTTTGGGATGACCCTTGGTTGTTTGATATCCCCTTGGAAGTTAAAATATCCTTGGATTTACTCTATTTCACCTATTAAAGATGGGTTTGTAGCAGATATGGGAGTTAAAATTGGATCCTGCTGGTCCTGGAATGTGAACCTTTGTAGACAACCTTTTGATTGGGAACGTGACCAATGGATTGATTTCTCCTCTACGCTTAGAGAATTCAGGTTGAGTGACATAAACAAAGACTAGGTTTGTTGTCAGGTTTGGGGGACGAAAGTTATTCTGTCAGATCCTTCAAGAAATCTCTTCATAAAACTATAAGTGTTGAATTCAAGTGGAAAGGATTAGTCTGGAAGAAAACAGTTCCTCCTAAAGTAGAGTGTTTCGTATGGTTGGTAAGCCTTAGCAGGATTCCAGTGAGAACGGAGCTTGCTAAAAAAAGAGTCTCATTGATTTCAGATGTTTCCTGCCCCCTCTGTGCTACCCATCCGAAAATTGTCTCCCACCTTCTGTTTTTCTGCAAGGTGTCTTGGCGCCTATGGATAATGTTCGTTAAACTTTGGAACCTCTCCGTTGTCTTCCATAAGGATTCGATGTACTTCCTTCAATTCTCACATAAGGTTAGCTTCTTTGTACCGTCTTCTGTTTGGCATATCGTCCCATTTGCTATTTTGTGGTCTGTATGGTTATTCAGGAATTATATAGTCTTCAAGAATGCTCGAATAAATTTCCTACAGTTAAGTTTCTTAGTTAAATTCCGCTTGTCTTCCTGATTCAAGGCGAAGATGCATAACTTGTCTGTCTTTGGAGGACATTATCTCAATGGCACTTCTGACAGACAAAATCTCGGTCGGGAGTAATTTTTGTAATGTTGTTTCCTGGAAAGCTCCCTCTGCGGGGTGCATCAAGTTAAATGTGGGTGGAGCTATGCCTTTGAATGCGGTAACTGGAGGTATTGGGGGATTATTCAGGAATGAGGATGGGACGATAATCGGCTCTTTCTCGGAACGAATTGGCGAGAGCCCTCACGTACTTGCGGAGTTGCTTGCATTGTAATTCGGTTTAGATATATTTTTCACCCCTCCCTTCGATCCCTCACCTCATCTTGAATGTGACAATAAGCTGGTATTGAGTTGGGTTTTGAATCCGAGAAATTATCCTGCGTGTTTTGCGAGCGTGGTCTGTGATATTGCGAAACTTATTGTTACAATTAATGTAATTCTGTTTCATATTCCTAGAGCTTGTAACATGGAAGCAGATTCCTTAGCAAAGCAAAGAGTTGGTTAATTAAGAGTGGGTTAAGACGGTTGCTTTTGTTGGATCTACAGGTTCTGTCTGTATTGTTGGTCCTTGAGTTTTTGTATGAAATTTCAATAAAATCTTTAGGTACTCTTTTCTGTCTTCCGCTATCAAGGCCTTCCCTAATATGAAGAAGATTTTTACTGAGACCTACCTTCTTATCAAAAAAAGTTGGGCAATCCTCCCAATGACTGCTTTAGGAGGAACGAACTTACACCAGTAGTTCATAATACCGAACAAAACCTCTCTGACAAGTAGTACCCTTTCATCATAGCTTAGATGTATATTCTCTTAATGATCGAGTTTGTCCTGAATCTTAGCAATTGGAGGAGCACAATCCTTCTTCAAGAGCTTCCTAGTTAAAAAAGGCACCCGTAAATATCGAACATGCAATCTATCGATTAAAAATCTCATGAATCCTTGAATATCATCGATTTGCTCAATCATGACTTTCGAAATAAAAACCTCACTCTTAGCAGCATTTAATCTCAAACCTGACATTCTATAGAACTTTTCCAACACGCAGTGCACATCAACCTTTAGTTTTAATCCCCCTACAATGCGAATCCTTTAGTTTAAATGGACATCATTTAGTTTTTTTTTCTACTTCAGTTTATACATTGAGTATTCCAAGTTCCACATTATAATCAGGTGGTCCGGATATTGTACTTTTAGTAGCTTCAAATAAGCTTTTTAATATGGTTAGGGTAAACAATTAGTTTGGTTCAGGGCGGACCTTATAGTTATCCTGGGTATCTCAAGTAATCCCTCAAAATTGTTTACTTAGTGTTAATTTTTTTAATTTTTTTTAATTAATACAAGTGTCACCCTTAATTTGTGTGTAGCGGTTGCTCTTTATTATTTAAAATTAAAAAAAAGATCAAGCCCAAAATACAAACCTTAAGCCCATGAATCAAGCACTTAGTTTCTAAAAAAATTTTATAAGAGTTTTTTGTGTAACCCCTGAATTTTTGTTATGGGTCCACCTCTGGTTTGATTATTTTTTGAACCGAACCAATATTCTAAAAAACTAACATGATTGATTAGGATTGATGACCTAACCGAACCGGTAAAACATCGGTTCGATTAGACCAAATCCCAGCCTACACATAATCTTTTATTACACTGAACCATCCACATAATCTTTTATTACACTGAACCATCGTGTTACTTGATCAAACTCACAGACAAACAAAACTATAAAATTTCAATCATATTTTGACAGAAACTTTATTTTTTTTTAGATAAATCAAATTTAATTTTCCAAAAGAGTAGAGTTCTGCTACAAAATACAATCAACCGATCAATACAAAAGAATTATACACAACTTGCTTACAAAAGGCAAAGATTGGTTAAGTAATACCCAATGCAATACAAAGGTTAGAATTAATTCTATCAGCTCAATTAATATTTTTACCCTTTAGTTGGATTCGCACAACTTCAATAATAACCTTGAGCAATTCATCTGAAGATCTGTGACGACTTTTGAAAATTCTGTGATTTCTTTCCTCCCACAATGTGTAAATATAGGCTGTCCAAGAAATCTTCAGAATTGTGATGAGTAAGGATTTCACTTTCCATGTTGAAGTAGCTTGATTAACCATTTCTTCCCATGTAGTGGATGTATTCTTCAAGCCATTAAGCGATAGGACGGAGCTCCAAAGTTGAACAACAAGAGTGCATTGATAGAAAATATGATTTCTTGTTTCCTGATCGATTCTGCAGTTTACACATGTCCATTCTGTTGAAATACCCATTTTGAGGAGCCGATCTCTAGTTGGTAATATGTTTAACAAAGACATCCAAGCAATCAAACTGAATTTAGGAATGTGCATGGGAAACCAAATTAGATTATGCCAGGGAACTTTATCCCTTTTGATTCGGATAGAATCCCAAATATCTCTTAGCCTAAGAGAACTTGATGAGGAGAAGATGTTGAGAGTAGTAGGACGCAAATTTAGGACTCTATTAATACTCGAGCCCACATTAGAACCTGCAACAAAATTCCAAAAATCTTGATCTTTGAAAACATAAGAATTTAACCAAGCCACCCAAAGCGAGCCATCACCCGCTAAGATTTTCCGGATTAGATCAATAGAACACGCTTTGTTCCAGATTTTAGTGTTTTTGAGGCCAAGGCCGCCTTTGACTTTAGAGAAGCAGATAAAATCCCAGCTTACTCGAGCACATGTGGCACACTTATCGTCACCTTTCCAGAAAAATCTGGAGCAGAGTTGGTCCACTTTTGTAAGGATCGAATTGGGAAGGATTAGTTGTCTGCACCAATAATTTGAGACGCTGAAAAGGACAGAGCGGATAAGTTCAAGTCTGCCAGCGTAGCTCAGATTTCTAGCAGACCAACGGTGAAGCCTCTATTTAATTTTATCAATAAGCACAACACAATCATTCTCAGTAAGTTTACGAGTAACAAGAGGACAGAAACTTTATTTTAGTTAATTCTAATCTAAAATAAATAACATTGTACGTCTTTAATAGAAAAACTTCCAATCACAATATTAAAAACACCTTGTTCAAATAACAAACATCCATCAGACAACAAATTATTTCATACCGAATCACTTATTTTAACATCAACAATATTAATCAAACCCCTTAACATTGGATAGTGTAGAACTAAAATTAAGTACTAGTGGTATATCGTAGAATTCCGGCGGTAGAGCGTGTGGTGTCGGAGGAAGGTCGAGCGGTGATGTAATAATGGCCTAGATTTTGGTTTGCGCAGAACAAAACATCAATAACTTGGTGTGGGGCGAGGGTCAGGGAATTTGTAAAGGAACGTCGGCTGTAAGCCCCTCTTTGTCCAATAATGGTGAGACTGTGGGATGCGATACCAAACTCCATTGTTTCATTAACAGCATTTACTATGCGAACAATGAAAAGCCCCTGGTAATCTACTTGATACTCGAACGTTGTATCTACAACATTCAAAAAAACAATTGTCAAAATTGTCGGATTATTACAAGAAAAGTTCGTGCATAAAAAGTGTAAAACAATTGTGCATACGTACCGTTACCGCATCCATTTGTTTCTCCAGGGTGTCCATTTATTGTGTAAGCATCGGGTTGGGCATCGGCCATGGTTTGATTGGCTTCGGTTAACTCCTGCCTGAACCATTCTCCTGAAATAAGAAATTGGCAGAAGAAGCGTTGAGATTCAAGCAAGTTTTACTCTCAAAATATGTGAAGGAAACAGCTAACAATATGTACCGATTATAATCGTTTTATCAGAATCGGGTGCAGGGAAAGGATAGTCCTCGTTGGCTGCCGGCAGAATGATAAAGGCGCCGTGGACGGTGGCACTAGCCCATACACTGGTAGCGTGCCACCAAAGAGTCCCTATCTGGTCGCCTAAATCAATCTGGTAAGTGAAGTTTCTGCCTGGCTGGATTAATTGATTTGAACCATTATTTTGAATCCTCAATGCCCTCCCTACAAAAACACATTTAATTCATCATTTCATCATGAACTCGTAAAAGCTGACGAAAACTGTGTAAACGTTGAATATAATCTTACCACGTGATGGAAACGGAGCTGTTTGCTTGATTGTGGACATTGACAAAAACTGTGTCCCCTCTACGAACCATAATCTCAGGCCCTGGGAAGCTTCCATTTACAGTCAAGATGTTCTTCGTGCTACACAGCTTTGTACACCGGGATTCTTGCAACTAAATCAACAGAAATAAGAGAGAACACAAAAACCAGAGTCACTAACACTTATTGACACAACAGAGAAGAGATGCAAGAAACTACTTACAAAGAATTCGTAATGGTGGTCATCAGCCATGGATAACACAAGAATATCAAGAAACAAAAGCCCTGTTAACCACATCAACCCTTGCTTTTGGAAACCCATTTTGTTCCTCTATGTATCTGTGTCCTTCTGGTATTTTTATCGATTTCTTAAATATTAATTAAAAAAACAACCGTTTGGAAAAAGTCTTTTTGGTAAGGAAGTGAAATTATTGACTAAAAAGAAACCGAAGTTTCTGAAAGCCATAATGAGAAATCCAGAGGTCAAACCGTTTGCAATAGAAATTTGCAAAGTTTCCAGACGCGTAAACCGGAAGACAAACGAAAGTCAAAGTGGACAAAATATTTTAGTGGATCCGTTATCCTACCTAATCTGCCCTTGAAAATGAAGGTTGATTGTCAAGCTAAGACAAGTTAGCATGCAAAATGACATTTTCATTCGCCACAAGGAAGCAGGACGATGACACTTAGCAGATATCGTAACAGCCTCATCTTCTCGGATGCCAAGTTCCATTTTGAGTTAGATTTGATGTTAGTTTGTAGTTACTGTTATCATGAGAATGGATGTAACGGTATGATTAAAATTAGTGTTGGTTTAGATTATAAGTTGATCTTTAGACTTTTTAATATCATTTTAATGAAGTTTTTACGTTAATTTAATCATTTGTTTAGATAGATATCAATTTAGATCCGAAACAAAAATATATTTAATATATATATATATATATATATATATATATATTAAAATTTAAACACTACTCACGTATACGATATAGCACTTGAATAATATGACATTTAATGACATATAATATGTTTAAAATTTTATCTATGCATATTTTAATTTTATCTATGTATTTTTTTGTCAAATTTTTGTCATTCATGCTCAAGTAGATGAGCGGACTAACGCAAAAATATTTAAAACAATATTGGTAGTTGAAAATTTTAGTTAAAATCTTTTAAAAATGGGAGACCAACTTAAAATCTAAGTTATGATGCCTTTAAACCATACCTTTCACATAACTTTTCTATAGCAATTTAAAAAGCATTTTTCAACCTAACAACGATGAACAACAATTCTTAAGCTTTTATTAACGTATGTCTTATCAGGACGGATGCAGAAATTTATGTCAGAAGCTATAATAAAAATTTTAGAGGTGCGAAATTAGATAATCAATAAAAAATACAAAAATAAAATCTAAAATATGAGGGAAGGTGCGACCGCACTCCCCAACACCCCGTCGGTCAATCCATGTGTCTTATCGTATATATTTAGACAATGTTAGTTGGTGTTAAGATATATTAATTACAATCATAATATATATTTTTCATATACTTGCGAATTTAAATAAACGAGCAGTATGCCTATAGTAAATATTTAAAATGTATTATTTATAAATTACGAGAACATTGACATAAAAACTGGAACACGCAAAAGTGGTTTACAGAATAAAACTTAACAGATAATGAGAGAGATAAAGATGCCATCTTTGTCAAATATTTCTGGACGGTTCCCCTCAAAATGTAGAGTCAGAGAAGCTACCATTTAAAATACCACGATTGTCAAATGTCAACCTTTAGAAAGCAATAGATGATTATATTCAATCAAGGAGAGGAGTATGAAATTGGACATGTTTTCATAAAATCAAACATCTTAAATTCATTTGCATACTAAACAAAATCTAATGATGAATTGTGAAGAAAATATTGCAAGTTAATCGTGGCTAAAACTGTGGAAGACTCGTATAAAGGGAGAAAATTCAAACATTGATGGCTGCCTAACTAGCTTGCATCAGTTCAGTTGTGTTGTGCTGTTACTCATTTTCTGGGATTGTAAGAAACTAAATGGAGGAAGGGTTGCATCATTTCTAGAGAACGCGTTTAGAAGACCCGCAAAGTCGCACATGGCTGGCCGGTGATCTCTCAAGTTACAACTTTCAAAGAGACAGCCATCATCTCCGTTGGAAAATAGCTAGTATTTGTTTTCTCCATAGTTGCTTGAATCTGCGGTTCAAATCAACCGGAGTTTTGCATCTCTTTTCGGTGAAATTCTTTGTTACCTAATCCGGGTCCACGCAATGCCACAAGTCATACAAATGCAATTGGCTTTAGTTGTTAAACTTTCGAATAATATATGATACTATTAGTTATATCTACACATTTTCCACAATTTAGTATTTGATTGCTGTGCAAACATTCGAGACTTATAAAATATTAGTTACATATGACAATGGAATGGTCAAATCAAATTTTTGATAAATATAAACTTAGTTTGAGTATTATACTTTTCACTAGACATTAATCAGATTCGATTTTAAGGAAGTTTCGCACAAATTAGAACTCAACTTGAATATACAAGTTATCATTTTTATTTCATAAAATAAGGATCTGGTTGGAAAAAAAATAAAGAATGATGTTATAGTAAATATTCTTAAATATAAAGAAGAAAATTATATTATTATCCCGAATTAGATTAGAACTTTAAATTCAATCTTAATTTGACTCTCTAATATCCGATCTAACTTGATCTTTTTTTCTAAAGAAAAAAAAACTATAACGTTGGGATCAAATTGCAATTCTTATTACATTACTTGTTAGAGTTGAGGACAAACGGAGGAGGTAACATTTTGGGGGTCAATATTTAGCAGTTGTTGATAGTTTATATTAGTCATTTCACATTTTTGTTTAAGTTTTTAAAGTATGGGGATTGAATTTACTAATCTATTAATTAAGGAAGGACCAAACATCCAAATTAACAAAGGATAGCCTTTTTCCAAGAGAAGAACTATGACAATTTGAAAACAACACTAACGAAATATTATTATAAACATGGGCTGTAACGTACAATCCACGAGATTTAGGTACTAAAATTTTTACGCTAACAAGAAACCTAGCTTTATCGGAGCCATTATTTAATATTGAAATAGCCATATAGCTGACTTCCAATGCTTACCTGGAATAAGGAGTGTGACGTGTAAGTTTTTTTACTGAAAAATAAAATGCAATTTACTTTTTTATACATACATCTCAGAAGATTTGTTTTATATTTTCCAAGTGAGAAACTTGAGGAGCGCAAGCCATTTTTCCCGCTATAAATTGTTGAATTTCAGGACAAAAGGACAACTCGGGGGAGAACTAAGAACACTTTAGAGAACAGCAGAATGGGTTTAGTGAATCAAGGTTTTGTGTTTGTTGGTGTTTTGTTTCTGAGCACTTTGCTCCTTTGCAGTGCTGATGTGCATAACTATGAATTCTTCGTGAGTGCCTTTCTTTTTCCTTTCTTTAACATATTTTTTTTTCTTCTAATTAAGGTCTTAAATTATTGTAGGTCCGAGAGACAAACTTTACGAAACTGTGCAATACGACAACTTTTCTGGTTGTAAACGACAGTTATCCTGGTCCTGAGATTCGTGTTAGTAGAGGTGATACTGTCTTCGTTAATGTCCACAATCAAGGGAGCTATGGTTTTACCATTCACTGGTAATTAACTTTATTTTTTTCAGTGGTAATTTCATGAAGAGTCGAAATAAGAAGTGATTAAATAAATCATGTTGCTGCAGGCACGGTGTGAAAAACCCGAGAAATCCATGGTCCGATGGTCCCGAAAACATAACTCAATGCCCGATTCAACCGGGAACCAACTTCACATACGAAGTCGTGTTATCGGATGAAATAGGAACCCTTTGGTGGCATGCACACAGTGACTGGACTCGCGGTTCCGTCCAGGGAGCCTTTATCATTTTACCAGCCGTGAACGAAACTTATCCGTTCCCGACACCGGACGCCGATCAAACAATCATGCTTCGTAAGCTTACCTTTAAACTTTTCGTTTGTGTTGGTTACATATAATTATGAATCACAATTTGATTTCAATTTTCAACTGTATGTTTTGGCAGAATCATGGTACAATGGAGACTACAAGCAGATTATCGATCAAGCACTTGCAACCGGCGTACCTCCTCGCCAACCAGATGCTTATGCCATCAATGGGAATTTAGGAGACACAACCGGATGTCCCAACGGTACGTTCTAGCTTCACGGTATTCGAATCAAGATTTCGTGATTTTTCTTAATGTAAACCGAACTAAGAGCTTATGAATTGGTTGTTGTAGATACAATGTTCCGTATGCAAGTTGATTTTCAGAATACATACCATCTCCGGATAATCAATTCTGCAATGAACGAAGAGATGTTCTTCTCCATCATGAACCACCCCCTCACCGTGGTCGCACAAGACGCCTCCTACATCCAAAGGTTTACGACCGACTATATATTGATAAGCCCCGGACAAACAATGGACGTTTTGGTATTTGCCAACCAAAACGCCGGTCAATATTACATGGCTACTCGGCCTTTCTCTGATTCCGCAGCTTTGCCAGTTGACTTAATTACGACTGGTGTTTTTCAATATTCAAACAGTGCGGGTGGATTGAATGCTTCTTTGATCAATCTACCCGCAAGAAACGATACAAATGCTACTAGCAGTTTTCTCAGCCGAATTAGGAACACGAATATCACGCAGAATCCGCCGCTGAATGTGCCGACGGATTCGGAAATCAGCCGACGAGTGTACATCGCGATCGCCACAAACAACTTACCGTGCAACACCTCACAGTGTCTTGTACAGAACAGAATAGTTGCGAGTATGAACAATGTCAGCTTTGTTGTCCCACGAATTGACATTCTCCAAGCATACTACAACAGGTATACATGGACTAGTTTGATTAGATGATCACTATAGCTGATACTGACAAGTTATCCTCATAATATTTCAGCACCACTGGCGTTTTCACCCAAGATTTTCCACTCAATCCACCAGTATTCTATGATTTCACCGGAAACTTGACTCTTCTCAATCCGGGAGCTGAACTAGGGACGAGGGTTGTGATGCTAAACTATGGCGATGCAGTGGAGATTGTGCTCCAAGCAACCCAGCTCGGTGCTGGTGGAAGCCACCCGATCCATTTGCATGGTTTTAGCTTTTACTGGGTGGGAAGTGGTTCTGGAAATTTTAACAATCAGACTGACCCAAGCACCTATAACCTGGTTGATCCACCCCTCATTAACACTGTCCACGTTCCTGGTAGAGGATGGGTTGCCCTCAGATTTTTTGCTAATAATCCCGGTA